TTATAACGAAGCTAATTATTCTATAACTTGTTTGTTCAATCGAAACACAGTAGTGGGAACTTACGTACGACCAAACAGATCGGTAAGCTCGAGAACAGAAACAAGGGTGCACATGGTTTAGCCGTATTCATATATACCTCGAAAGGAGAATGTGTTTTAAGGTATGTGTTTATGAATACCACGCTATTATCATCAATGAAGTTATACTAAAATAATACAGGTACAGTTTCTGGTGAAAAAGGATAAATATATTGTAAAATAACTTCGAATATCACTAAATGGCTTAAAACCAAAACTTAGGTTTAATTTATTGAAAACTGTGTGTCCCTTTTAACATGCATGTAATTAGTGTACAGTAATAATTTCAGTAAATGATTCGAAGTGTATTACACAATTTAATTTTCGTCACTAAATATGTGTTTTGGATTTTATCCTAATATTGTAAAGTAAGCGAAGTTGCGCATCATTGAAGAAAAGAACAAGTTGTCTTTCGATGAAAAAACAACAATACAAGGCTTACAAATAGAAATTTTTCTTAAATGCTTACCTATGCTGTAAATATGTAATTATACTATTAGAGTTACTCAAGAGGTAGACAACAAAAAAAATAAACCCTTTTATAATCATATTAAATTATATTAGGCATTGAAAACCTGCAGGCAATTGAAGGAACGATTTATATTTTAAAACAAAAAGTCTCAAAAACTCAGAATTTAAGCTGCATTAACACCTCTCACATGAGACATCCCAGCATTTTAATGTGGATAAAAAAATATAAAAAAAAATCAAGAAAGGTTTTAGTTATTTTGATTAGACCAAAAGAAATTTTGGCACTATTTTCAAAATCTAGGTCGCTGGACCAGACCTGACCCGAGACCATAAGAGCCAACATGCAGAAGTTAACTTGTAAATGTAAAGTAAAACGATGAAGCAATGAGACATGCCTGAAATGTTCTAGATGTGGTTGTGAATATGATGGTTTAAGTGTAGCGATTTAGCTAAACCGTGGGTCCAGGTCGGATAAGGAAAAGACTTATTCGAACTTAACCCTAGAGATTCGTTAACTGATTATTTTCATTAATACTTAGTGTTGTTTTTTCTCGCTTTAAAACTTGTTGCGAGCTTCATGCATCCAGATCTATTGAAATAACTCTAAATCATCAGTTTCCGGAATGACCCCCCCCCCCTATTGACATTTTAATGAGGATTTTTTTTTTCGTGGACCCCAGACCTATCGATGTTTTTTGTATTGAATAAAGCATTCCGATTGCATGAGAAGTTGTATTGTAAAATTAAATGTTTTAATGCATATAAATATAATTTTACGAAAAATGCTTTTTATTCTATAGATTATATTTTTAAAAATATTTTGATAAATTTCGGACGTGACTAGCGGATTCCCTGGAGTATCTCGAGGACCCCCAGAGGTTCGTGGACCCCAGTTTGAGAAACGCTGGATTATTGTTTTTTTTTATCAAGATTTGAAAATTGCTGGTACTTTAGTTGTGGGGATAGTTGAAGAGAATATTAAATTATGTTTAGTTTGTTTGGGCTACTTACAATGTCCACTGCAGAGAATCGAACCCAGGATTTTAGCGTTGTAAGTTCTTAAACTTATCGCTGTCCTACCGGGGGCCTTATGTCGTGTTGGTAAGCTTTTACAATGCATTTTGCTTGTCGTAAGCGTTGATATTTGGATATAAATATCTAAAGCCCTTCTCTTGGTAATCGTGCAAACCTGTATTATACTCCATTAGAAAGTTGAATTGTTGTGTTAATCTGTGAATGGAATAATACTTAATAATTCAATCATCTTCAAGGTCGATCGATGCTTCTTAACCTATCACAGAGCATAAATCAGTATCTATCTCGTCTCTATATCTGTATTCATCAAAGCTTTCATTTAGCTATCATTTTAGTTGTACCTCTGTGAATACCCCCAGTGGGCCAGCGGTAAGTGTACGGGCATACAACGTTAAAATCCAGAACTCGATTCCCAATGGTGAACAGAGCGCAGATAGCCTATTGTATAGCTTTGACCTAAAACAAACAAATGTTTATGAATGTATGCACTCTGTACCGAATATTATTGTGGAAACGCACAGGTGATTCATGTACAGGAGCCACAACAATGAGTCCAATCAGTTTAACATTAGAACAACTTATTATTACAGAAAATACAAACTTAATCGAATAGATTGTACAATTCATTAATATTCTGTAGTCGCTTTAAACTTTGATTTTATGTTATCATAAGTTTCTCATTATATAATTGTGAAATACTGTTCTAAATGTCATGTGTTACTCCTCACAATTCAGCAAGGTTGTTTGCTTGCCATTTGACCTTCTCAGTTTAGATGTAAACTCATAAAGACTCCATTATATTCATGATAAGACTTTGTGCAGGCCAAGCCATAAATGCGAGTGTTCCATCGGCCTCTTGTTTATTTCAAGTATCGTTTTATCAGATTTGCTGTGTGCTCCACGAATCTCTGCTCAACAGCCCTTGCTCCTGATGCAATGAACATGAACTTTGGGTAAATATCCAATGACGTTAATAGCAAACTCTTGTGTTGATACATCAGAATGCTTCTCTGGAGATGATGTACGTGGATCATAGTACCGTTTTCTTTTTTGCCTTTGAACAAACTCTCATGAATTGCTGTTTACAATTTGTACTTGAATTAATCTATAAAGAGCACCTTCTTCCAATTATTTTTGTCCGATTGTTTAAAGCCTGATGCCATTTTAAACATTTGGATTGGTTATCTCTCCTAATCAGTGGCTTGTGAATAGCTACAAATCCATTAAGGCAACTTCTTGGTAGCATGTATCTTCACACCTGTACTTACTTTTGAAGAGCTTGACTTCCTACGTTGACTGTTTTGTCTAGTGCTAGTTGCATAAATTCTCTCCAGAGCTTCCATACAACTTCCACTGAAAAATAAAATTTCGCCTCCGCCTCGACTTGTCTCAAGTACCAACGTTTACCAGCCAAAACTAATTTTTACAAGCTTTCCGTATGATATTTTTGTCCTCGGAAGCATGTACACAATCACCACGCTACTGCTGGGAATAGTATGACTTCTTGTACGTTTATAGGCAATAGGTTGATGGAGAAGTGTCTGATTTGTTGTAAACTATCAACATGCGGCTGTACAATTACTTTTCATACACTAGAAAGGGGTATAGAGAAATATCATAATATTTACATTTTATAATAATTTTATTCACTGTTTCCATAATTATTTCCTGTACTGTATCTTAATTTGTGAAAAAATAATGTGTGTGCCTAGGTCGATGTATTATACGCAGACTTACATTCAAGCTGTAATCATGGGATTATCTCCCATCTTTGAACGTGTGCTTTTGAATCACCATTTTGTTCTGATTGGCCCGGCATGGCCAGGTGGTTAGGGCGCTCGACTCGCAATCTGCGGGTCGCAAGTTCGAATATGCTCGCTCTTTCAGCCGTGGCGGGCGTTATAATGTGACGGTAAATCCCACTATTCGTTGGTAAAAGAGTAGCCCAAGAGTTGGCGGTAGGTGGTGATGACTAGCTGCTTTCGCTCTAGTCTTACACTGCTAAATTAGGGACGGCTAGCGAAGATAGCCCTCGTGTAGCTTTGCGCGAAATTCAAAACAACCAACCAACCATTTTGTTCTGATTATGATGCAGTTTAAGTGTGTCGTTAGTTTACTTTCAAGAGGTCAAGTAGTAATTGTGATTAACTTACAGGGAATTCCCCTTTTGGAAGAGGAAAATTTGGTTTAAATTAAAAGATAACATTATGTTTTCATAATTAGATTCTAGTGTGTTCATTGTAAGTTGAAATAAGCGTCGTGTTTATGTAGACGTAGACAAACAATGAACCAATATTGTTGAAAGCTATTAGAAATAGTGTTTGTTATACGTATATGGATACACCTCGTTACATCACCAAGTTGTTAATTACATATCGCACATAAAGTACATGGATGTAAACTCGAGCAGTACGTTTTGGGTTGCATGTGATTTATCGTTGTCGTCCAAATCTGGGACAAGGCGAAATAACAAAAACAAAACTTTAATTATATAAACTGGTAATATTTTTCACTGAGAATAAAAACTTTTGTGTTTAAATGGATCATTTTTTACTTTAGTTTTTAATATTTGGTCTCCTGAAAATGTTATAACACTAAGTTCCAAGGAAATGAGTAGGGTTTATACTTTGTATCATTTGCTGGCTAGTTTATAAGAGGAAATTCATTATTTGAACAGTTAACGTAACTGGATACTATGACTTCAATGTTTAAAACATCTAAGCTAAATTATCATTTTATTTCCCTGCGTAACATCACAAACAGTTGCCCTTCTGCTCTCTCAAACACAAAAAGTTTAAAACTAGTAAACATTTCATGCAGACATTTCAATGTTGGTAAAGTGAAATAAGAAACGTCTTTCGAAGAATAAGATTTTTAAAATTTGAGTACAGTCTTCCTCTAAAATATAGCTGGTTTGTCGTGAATGAATAAATATTGATAAATGATGAACTAATTACTCATAGAAAAATATGCATTGTTATGCTATTTACGGGTTAGACTTTTTTATTAAAGTTACTTTAGTTTTAAACTATTTTTTTAGTATTAGTTTAAGTTACTTTAGTTTTAAACAATTTTTTTAGTATTAGTTTATCTTTCTTTAAGGCATTTATATCTAAATAAAAGAAATGGGTGTAGTTTAGTGCCAACAGTTTAAAAACAATGTAACAAATGAAAATCTAAAATAACTACAAAACAGTGAATTTTGAAGAATGCATATAAGCCTGTTTAGTTTGAAAGAAACTAACTTTTCACACAAGTGATATATTTACCTAAGTACAAGTTATACTAGTCTACGTATGCATTCAACAAATTATACTACACCTACATTTTTTATAATTTTGTCTATTATGTCCTACATGTGCCAGTAAACCTGTGTTACAACTTAATCTAGTAACTAAGGAAATGAAACAACGTACCTGAGTTAATTCGCTGGCAAGCTTGCTGAGCGAGAGTAAGAAAACTATCATAACCATGACCACAGCACATGATGTAAAGTAGACTTTGTTGGCTCGCACCGACATTGAAACTGGCAGTGACTTGCTGAAATACACACTACTTTCTTCTGCACGAGCAATTTACACAAGAACACGCCCACATCTAAGTTTTTTCACGGTGGTTTTACTGAATCTCATAAAATGTGATTTGTAATCATGATCATACAAGTTCAACTTTAGTAGAACGAGGAGATGCATGATTCTCATATCATCTACAAAACCTAGTGAAGAAAAATGACACAGTTTGATAAGGCTTTTTTATATAGTAAATTACAGAGTTCCATCTAGAGCTACCTGATAAAACAAAACTTTTTGCTGATAAGACACGTGAAGGTGTAGCGAATATGTGATTTTGAACCTTTGAACAAAATAGCATACACGTCACTAAGTATAAGTATATATTTCCTGTACAAGAAGTTGGGAAGCAGATTTCCTGTATAATTAATTAGCAGTCACAAAATTTAGCCCAGATACAATTACTCATCATAGCACAAATAAACCTCAGTAATTAAAATCCGCCACGACTATATATGCAGCGAATTAAAACTGAAAAACAATTCTATCCAAACTTGCTTCGCCACTGAAAAGGCGGAAGTTACACAGGATGAAGTTTCGCCTCTTCCTGAGAAATCTAAACGTCACGTCCGTCTGAAACACAGAACGTCCGGTTTTTTTAGCCTGTACTTCTTAAAAGTTTAAGTTTAATAACAACAAGTAGAAAATACTTCACACAACTACTAACTAATGACTATACACTATAGAACAGCCTTACTGATCAGAAACATTTGAAATGAAAAGAACAAAAACATCAACATATTTTCAATTAGTAGACTCGTATATTTTGTTTGTTATTGGATATGTTAATAAAGTTAATTTTTTAAACATTTATTTCTTTAAAAATTTTCCCTGACCACTAGAAAATACCGCTGGATTTTTACAGCTTTATCTCCTTTAATTTATTTATAATGATTTAGGTATTTTTGTAGTATAACTTCAGGAGGATTGGCAAGTGCTATTTAATGTATTCAACTGGGAACAACATTTGGATTAAGTACCTTTAATTTTACTACTTCTGCGAAAGAAAAAATATTCTCAAAATATGAGGAAGAAAAAGCCATTAGATTTATTTTACGAAAAAATCAGACATGATACAAACTAATGCTCGAGGGTACTTTAATTTTGAGTGTTTATTACTGAATATCATCGATACTTCAAGCTTATATTAGTCATGATTTGCATTTTTTAAATATAACTACTAACGGGTTAAGAATTGTTTTTGTTTTTTAATTTCTGTCAGCGCTTATCTAAACTGTATCAGTGCTATAGGTCGATCTAGATTTTATTAGTGATAATCAGTAAATGATTAAGCCTGGGATGTGTGTAAAGAGAATCTATAATCGAATACACTACGTCAAATATGTACCTGTACACAAGATATCAGCAACACTTTAGTATTGAATTATCTATACGTATTTGAATGCACGGTTTTAGTGATAGTTTCGAACGAAACTCCCTTCACGATAAGTTATTTAAAATCATATCTTTATTAGCCTAGCATTTAACCTGTTTTTCCCTAGAAAGGGGTCCGAAGGCCGCCTGTAGTAGTCAGCTGGTTTAACCACTCTCACCATCATACAATAGCGTGTTGTCTGTCAGTTAGTCATTAAACACTAAAATGACGTCACATAAGGGAGCTTAACGTTGCAGCTTGTACTGTCGTAACGTTATTAAATTGTGTGCATGCCATGAATCACTAGAAGAATTATACACTCTGTAGGCTACAACACAGTATGACTAATGAACTTCAAAAACCAGAAATAATAATATTTGTTACTCTTAATTTTGGTTTTATTTACTCTTGAAACAAAACAATTTCGGGAATCCTGTGGAAATTCATGTAGTATAACTATTATAAACTTACTGAATTAATATTTTACTTGTACAATGTCATTTTACACTTTCCTAATGGTATTTAATAACTATTTTAAAATGATGATCTGATAACTGAACCTTTAAACGACGTAAATCAATAAGTGTTTGCATGTTTTCAAACCTTCATACGATTATAAATCAACAAATTATTATGAGTTAAAGGTTTACGCATTACAGTTATCGGTTACTAGGGCACGTTATAGCGGAAACTTTCTAGTTAGAGGAACGTTATTTTAATAATGAGTTTTTCTTTTGTATTAAAGGTCGTTGACGTTACACGATCATTGCTTTGTACGTTTTATTGTCCAAGACCAGAAATAGTCTTATTTATAGCTTCGACTTCTGTTTTTGTTTTATTACGTATTCTTGAGCTTTTATTGTCTATTTCAGATGTAACTGATCAAGTTAACATGCGTCATTACCATTTGATATAGTAGCTTGAAATCACGACTTTTTTCACCATTTCAAATCTGAAGCTCCTCGAATTTTCGATGCAATTTGAGGCTTGAACACTATAAATAAAATAGAGAAAAAATACACGTGCATAAACATACACTGTTGTACACAATCAGTGTTTATTTGCCTATAGGACAAGCTCATATTCTGCTCTAGAAAATTAGTTGAAATATTTCACCAACAGATGTCAGGCCATTCGAACCCGTGACTCGCAGATTGCTAGTCGAGAGCCCTTGCCACTAGTGTATACCAGGTCGGCCATTACAACATCGAGCACAAAAATTATAATGATTTATTGTTGTTTTGTTATGGATTTCGCTAGCCGCCCCTAATTTTGTAGTTTAAGACTAGAGGGAAGGCAGCTAATCATCACCACCCACCGTCAACTCTTTTACCAACGAATAGAGCAGTATTTGATACAGCAGACTTGCATTAGCAAGCCACATTGATGAAGATGGCGACTTCCTGACAATTATTCTGTTTTTGGTCTGGAATTTCTAGAGATGTTTAATGAAAGAGATTGAGAAGTAGAGGTATGTCCATCGGGGTGGCGTGGGGACATACTCCCCTTGAAGAGCTCTGCCCCAACATCCTCATCCTGAGAAATCAGAATTGAATCTTTTAATAGTTTTAACGTTTTCTAAAACGGGGTAGTTATGTCATATATCCGAAAGAAGTATATCCAACCAGATGAGACTAGGAGGTTCAATGGTGGTTTCAAACACCATCAGATCTCCTCTAATCTATGGAAATAAAGTATAAGGTCATTTTAGCATTTTTGTTAAATAAAAAAAGAAAAATGGATGCTTTTTAAATAGCATAGCACTGTATTAAAAATTGTAAAGTTTTGATTAAAAAATCAATTTTTCTATTCGATATCGCTGACATTCTTTTTAAAGCATTTTTATGAGTGGTTTTCGGTAGACGAAGTTTTCAAGATTGTCTGGCACAGCTACACAGAGGTTTCGTTTGTTGTGTTTTAGTGCAAAGCCACACGATGGGCTATATTCGCTTTGTCCACCAGAACTGTACAAATGGCTACCTTTTCATAGCCGTTTCTAATTTTGAACTGATAGACAAGAGGAAAGTCAGTTATTCAATATCATCGACAACACAAACATGTGTTGTTATAGCAATGGGCCGCGAACTCTGAACCATAAAAACCACGATCTGAGCACACTAAACCACCAGGCCACGCCCCGGTTACAAGTAAAATGCTCAGCTATGGAGAACATAATTTTTCAGCCGTGCAATTGCGAATTTTACATCAGTATTTAGGAAGTTCAAAGGTGTATCAAATAACCATTAGAAAAATTATAGCTTTTTGGAATATCTAATGCAAATATTAATATACGGAAAAACGTTATATATAAAGAAAGAAATAATTTTGTGTGGAATAACTCCCTAATTCCAATGCCGTTTTACTCCTCTAAAACCCCCAAATAGAAAAGGCATTAGCCATCTCTCACAACTAGATGGATCTTAATGATTTATTTTGTGAATCCTCAGATCAGTTAAGTAAAAACCGGGTTTCTATATCCGTGGTGGGCACAGCATAGATAGTCCATTGTGTACCTTTGTGCTTAACAACAAAGAAACAAACTTTCAAGTAAGGACTACACGATAGATAGAGTTATATTATATACTTAGTTACAGCTTGATTCACTTGCTTTGTGTGGAACCTGGCATAGAAAGAAACAACAACAGCATTATCATTTCAAAAATGAAGGAGTTAGAGTTTTAATAATTGAGACAATAGAGGAAACTAATCTAAAAATCAATATTCCAATTATTGATCCTGGTTTTGTTTCAACATATGCGTAAAAAATGATTTTTTTGTTTTAAAATAGTGAAGTTTGTATATTTTACATGAAGTATAATTGGAAATTCGGCTTAGACTAGGCAGTTCGTTTTAATTTTTATGCGAAAAGATATCGTGACAAATATATAGTGATGTTGAAAAAAATTCAAGCTAAAGTTATTAGAGCTTGTTCTTTTAACTTTTTCGTATTTGTACAAATTTGACTGTACGACACAAAATGGGATTATACAAGTCGTTGAAAGACTGCTTAATGCAGATAATTGGATGATGAGGACGTAGAGTTTCAAGTATGGTGAAGTCTTATTCTTGATTTTTATCACTAACTTCACATGAGGAAATATCCACGCATAAAAGAATGATCCGTACAAACAATTAGTATTCTACCTGTCTAGTGATCTAGGTTCATGTCTAAATGCTGGTATCGCCCACACATAATTTATGTAGTAATACAAAGTCCTTGTATGATTAAATTACATATCATATTTCTAACATGCGCAATGCAAAGAGGTTAGCATTTCGTTTTTTGAGTTCAATTTTGAAAAATGTATTAATACTTTTAGGTTGTTATCCGGTTATTTCATATTTACTATATTATTTAATAGTGGTTTTGTCATAACATTTCTAAATATTAAATTTAATTGAGATTATTTCTGCCATCGTTTTACTCTGATTATCTTTACCATATTTGAAACTTATAAATGTTTGAGGTGACAAAATGAAATTTCAAATAGATTCAATGACTTTAGTGAAAATCTATTTCACTGAATCACCATACAGCTTCCACTGAATCACCATATAAAGACACTAAAATATTAAATACGTAAAAACAAACAAAAACTAGCAATTAATATTTGAATGCTCAAGAAAACTAAATCTTAAATAACTATTTTGTAAAAGTATCTTCATCGTGGAAGATAATAAAAGTTTCTGAGTGGCAACTATTTCCTCATATTTTCTTTAAGTGCATTCCTTTTTTGCGAAAAAATACAAGAACGTAGGCTCACGAGTCATTATAATGATGGCAAGACACGCTATTTCATGACTATTCAAATTACAAGGAATTGCGTGTGGCATTTTTAAACCTCGTTTAAACGTACTTTCTTCCATATTTCCCTCAAATAATTTTATTCGTAATGTTCCCTATGTAGTTGCCGACATAAGTTACTTTGTACATGAAGAGTTATTACAGAAGAGCAAAGCCCTGTGTTTACGGGGAGTAATGTACTTTCGACAGCAAAAAAAAATACTAAAAAAACGATAGTTTACACAGTTTTATGCATATATAAAAACTATATAATTACAATTGTGATTCTTGAAATTAGATATATTAAAACTTTTACTACATTTTTATAAAGCTTAAAATTCTTATTATTTTTTAATATCTTTATTGGTAATTTTCTGCCGTACTTATCTGCATGATAACAAAAAGGCACCCTGCTAGTAAACACCTTTTCTATATACTAATCATATATTTGTTTATATCCTCTTTGGATCCACAATTACGCTTGGTATCAAAACGTCATCTTTTTACCTCTGATCCGGAGGCTTTCCATTAAGGAAAATTTCATCTTTTAATTATTAAATTCTAATCATATCATTTACAGAATATAAAATCCGTATTTTCAATAATAAACGCTTGTGCAAACACGTATTTCTAAAATGTAGAATGTCACATTGAAAATGTTAATATTAAAGATATAAGAGACATCCCTTCGTGTGATTTTTTTCAAACCTTTTTAGTTCATGTAAATGAAATGATAACATAATTCTTCCAGTACTTCACTGTAAAAATCTTGCTCAAAATATTTATGTTAGGGGCTGTCGTCCAAACAAAGTGAACAAGTGTATTCAATATAAAATATTATGTAACTTGATGCATAATAAAGTGTAATTAGAATGTTAAAACAAACCTACATGTTTCGTTGCTGTTACAGCACCATCATTTATTTCACTTCATTACGTTCGCTAGTATTCTATATCGTGTTATATAAAAGCCATTCTATCCAAGTATATTTAATAACTTGTACAGTATACAAAGGTTAGTTTGTTTTAATATGTTTACAACAACGTCTCTATTCAAACCTGGCGAAAACTAAAAAAAAATAATTGTATAGTATAAATATTCTAGAGGTAAATTAAATAGAACTTTATCCACATTTTGGCTCCCGCTAACTCAGCGGTAAGCCCTAGGACTTATGATGCTAAAAATTGAAAAATATCTTAACTGTGACGGATTTGTTATACTATATTTATTTTAATATCGATGTTTGTTTAGAAATGTACATAATGTATACTGTTAGATATGTATTGCGAAACTCCTGCCTATTCTCTAATGTTGTAGAAGATTCTCGAGTGTAAGAATCAACAATATATGTGTGTACGTAAACGCTAATGTAGCTTTGTATTGTTACGTAAGCTGAATTTTTGAGAAACTCTCCACACGCTTATAAATATAACCAACGCGACGCGCCTAAAAAACAGTATTTAATATTTGTTTGCTATAGTTGGTGTGCTATAAACTTCGGAAGCTATAATTGTTATTATTTTAACGCTTATTAATTGGGAAACTTAAGACATTTGACCAGGAACGTTTGTAAATTTCGAACATTACAAACCATTTAATTTCAGTGGATTCACATCGGACATTATAGGCGTGTGGAGAGTTTCTCGAAATTTCAGTTTTACGTAACAATACTGAGCTGCATTACGCGTTTACGTACATACATATATATTGTTGATTCTTACTCTCTAGAATCTTCTACTACTTTGGAGAATAGGCGGGTGTTTCGTAATACATATTTAACAGTATAAGCTATGTATATTTCTAAATATAAATTTAATCTAAACAAATGTTGATATTAAATATATATATATATATATATATATATAATGATAAATCCGTCACAGTTTGTGAAACTTTTGTATATAAATCATTGTTCGTAATAACTATTTGTAATAACTGTTATTGTAAATTGTAGTGTTGTTTGTATATTAAAACATATTTGTATTAAAAAAGAAAATTGTGTGTATCAATCTTGTTGGCAAATATCATAAATTGCATATATATCGGCATTTATTTAACTAATAAATCTAAATTACAATTTAACTTGGTTTCCGACCATTCGAAATTGTAATACGTAACATTAACATATTACAAGCATGTTTTGTAATATAGCTATTTGCTAGACTATGTACATAGGCTCGTAGAACAAATGTTTTCGCGCATATTCTCTAAACACTTGTTGAAAACAACACAGATATTCTCTAAATACTTGTTGAAAACAATACAGATATTCTCTAAATACTTGTTGTAAACAATACGCATATTATCTAACTACTTGTTGTAAACAATACGCATATTATCTAACTACTTGTTGTAAACAATAGCCATATTCTCTAAATACTTGTTGATAACAATACAGATATTCTCTAAATACTTGTTTAAATTAACAGCTACACCTCGAAGTATTTTTTTTTGTTTTTGTTTTTTTTTTGTTTTTTGTGAGTCAGCTATTGAAACTTCCACCTGAGATTTATGGCCTTGAACTTGTAATAAAATATTTCCTCGTGAACTCGTGATTCTTCACCTACCCCCCCTCCCCTCCTCTCTCTCTCTTATTAAGGATCCTCATTCCTACGCCTTTCTCATAGAGTCATGAAGAAAGGAAAGTTGCAATGGGTGTTATAAGGCAGAACAAGTTTTATGGACAACCAAAACTAATTATACTACATTCCTTAAGCCTGAACGATGCAGTATACGTAAATTTCTTGTGAATTAAAGAAATAAAAAAAAATCATGGAAACAACATTAAATAATAACTGAAAATCTTTAGTGAGTTGCGTCATTGTTTCTTAACTAATCTAATATTTAATCTTATAAAGTCCCGCTGAGTTCAGCGGCAGTATGAAGGCTTATGTCACTAGAAATTGGGTTTCAATACTCGTGGTGGACACATCACAAATAGCCCATTGTGTAGTTCTATGTTTAACAACAAACAAACACTTTTCTGAAATAATCATGCAATTACCTATTTTGATATACCACTTAATGAACAACAATTAAATTAAACAGTAACAAAGCTTCCCAGGAAATTAATAGGTGTTTGTTCCGATTTGTAGGTGTTTTACACTAAATTATTTGAAGTTTTTTTGTATATTTATGTTATGCCTAAGACAAACAATTAATTTAATATAAGAGCCAGAGGTAGGTGGCGTGCTCGGACTGTAAATCCAAGGTTTCATGGTTCTATTCCCGTTGTCGCAAAACCGTGTCTGTACTTGGAGTTGTCTGTGGGTGCTTTATGAGAACGAGGGTCAAATTCCAAAATTCAATCAGACAGTAACATCCCAAGAACTGATGATGGGAACTGCTGGCCAGCTGTCTTCTGTCTTGTCAATCAGTTTAATATCAGGAACGATTATGCGCTAGTAGTCTTTGTGTAGCCATACACGAATAATGTAAAATAAAATAAAAGCATTTAATATGTATATAGGTATATTGTTGACACTCAATCTAATATATATATACCCCCTCAAAATGAAAAAAAAAATATATTTTGTGCGTGACCTAGGATGGATTGTAATACTTGAGTTCAATGCACAGATTAATAGTTGTGATAACTATACTAAACATCTCAACTTAGTACATATAAGAACCCTCAATAAATCAATATCTATAACCAAAAAACTCATTAGAAAACAAATATATATATTAAATTAATCAAAATATTAATTTATGCAAAAGTACAAATATACAAATTATTAATTTCTGAAAATTTTGAAATTTTCGTGCATGTAATAGCTAGTAACTGATATTGAGGGAACCTGGAAAATATACTTCATTTGAGGATAATTTTGTTTTTTTTATAGTTCAGATTTAAAAGAAGGTGTGAGTTTGATGTAATTTTAAACAACCTTGGTTTGTTTCCACGGTTTTACTATAGTACTATAATAATTAATGTATTTGTTAATAATTAAAGTATTATAGAATTATTCTATAAAACAATGTACCAACGAACCTACATTTGACATCTCTATATATCTCATTGTGTGTCTTTAAATGGCCATCAATCAGTTGAAAAAATGAATTTATACTACATGCACAACCACAGCTTCATAATTACTGTAGCATTTTAGTTTCTTAATTGTGACATGCTTTTTTGAATATCAGTTTCTTTACTTTACCACTTACACTGCAACAAGCCATGACCTTTGGTCATGAGGTGGTCCCACCATGTAACATGATCCAGAAAGCCATAAATCACTCACGTGGAGATAAAATGTTGAACTTGGTAGGGTTCTTGTTTTTTTGTGTGTTTTTTTTCTCTTTCTCTTTTTCTGTCGAGGTTAAGGTTACCATGCAACGGAAATTGTCGTTAATCAGGAGGGCGCCACTGGAATCGGCAGTAGAAATCCACGTACTGGAGCGAGCACCATGCATAATTTTTTTTCTGGGCCCTCTCTGGAAACGTGATGAAGACGGAGTCTCGAGACCAACCACAAGCATGTGTAACCTGTTTGGGACAAGACTAAAGTTAAGACGAGTCAGTGACTCAAATCCCGGGTATGCACTCTCGAGGCTCAGCTGTTTCTAAACTTCAATAAAATTTAACCCACTGAAAGATTAAGTTCGTTTATTTGCTGCCAAAACTCGCACTGTGTTAGCTGCGTGCTGACCGAACTATGCTAATCTAACTGTAAGTAGCGAACATCGGTTGCTATATTTGATGTTGGACAACAAAACAGTCTGATTTGTCCAATACTCGAAAAGTAGATGAAAAACCTGCCATGACGAACTTGACCTCGGTGCGTGTCGTTGTTCTGGGAAACAAGCATGTAGGCAAAACAGGTAAGTTTGGGGATCAGGTTTTGTCAACAAAGCAATGTGAAGACTTATAAACCGCACGTTTAAAAACATGCTGATATGTATTAACTATTAATAAGCTCGGTTCTATTACAGCCTTTAAGTTTAAACTTTGATTTCATTTTTCTGAAGTGTATATGAATACTGAATTAACTGCTTTAATAATTTAAACAGACAAAAACAATCAGTAGAATGTAAACATTTTATAACATTTTCCATTTTCTCACAACATATTAAACAAAAAACATCGTAGAAAACATTCAAAGCTTTAGAAAACGATATTTTGCATATAAAATATTATTAAACTGAGAGAAAAGGGAATATTTATCAAGTTTACTAATCCAATAGTTTAACTATTTGTAACATGTTTTATAATTATTGCAAAAAATACTTTCATTTTTCTTATATCACACTGAAGTAATAAATGAAAACAGTGAACAAATGTTGGTAGGAATATTTTATGGAATAAAGTCACATATTTTCTTAATTCGTTTACATATTTTTTGTATAAGTTAGAGAAAATATATATATGTGGGCATATGAATACAGAAGTACCTACTATTTCATTTTATCATTCGTGTATGCAAAACGTAATACAAAATAATTATATAAATCTAAATATATTTCTAACTTTCAATAGATAATTAAAACCAACGTTTCATATTTACACAACTTAAAAAACTTAATTAAAGCCGTCAACGGTTTCCACTTTAAAAATACATCCTATACATAGAGTGTTTCGAAAAAATAATAATAATTTGTACATGTACATACAGAGTGTATTTTTAAAGCAGAAGGCGTTGACGTTGTCAATTAAATTTTTAAAATTGTGTAAATACGAGACGTTGGTTTTTAATTATCTATTACATTTTAGACAATACACAAGTATATTTATATTTATAACTATAGATTACTAAACGTAGTGGACACTTCTAAATCATGCCTATAAAAAAATAAATTTAAATAATAAGTTTTGTACTGCTGATGTAATAACTCGCGACTTGTAAGATATTTTGTAATATATAATATAAAACTCCTTTAAAATGTAAAAACAAATAAAAATATTGCTATGATTATAGCTTATACAATGAGATTAGTTTTGCAAATGAAGTTGAGAATTTAGATTGGATCAACCGAACAAATATAATGTAAATACGTCTTATGGCGATTTTTGTAAAGATTTTGAGAACGATGTCTACCACACACACACACACACACACACACATAAATATCACGAAAAACAACATATGTAAATATGTATTATCAACGGATTGTTAGAAAGTCAATACTGACAAAACAAAATTAGTTACATAACGGGCAGGCTATCTACGCTCTCTCTCTCCACTTCAGGGAATCGAACCTCGGAGTTTAGCGTTGTAAGTTTGTAAACTAGATAATTAAAGTATTTACATGCTCAGTTTCATACTTCGAATAATTCAATTAAAACTTCTTATATTTTAAATAAATTATCGTAAAACAGGTTCCTATAAAATTTATACTTAAACCAAAGAATAATGATTCTATAATAATATCCTACTTGTGTTATAGCTATAATAATATTCTATATATGTGTTATAGCTATTGTTTATACATAATGTTTTTTCTTAGATCTGATTCTGTGGAATGAAGTATCTTAAAAACTTCAAAAATGTAAAAAAATAATAAATTTACTGGTAAAGATAATATTTACCTAAATTTATTTGTAAAGCCGCTGATTTAATATTGCACCAGTATTGAAATATATTGGAAAAATATTTATTTTATATATACATTGTACATAAAAGTCATTGTGTTATTTCCTTCATCCGTCTGTCTTTTGTGGCTCATTTATACCTAAACGATAAGATTGATTAGTTGTTTCTTTCGAATACCTTTCGTTCACGATATTCTAGTTACATATGCTGTAATTATAAAATTGTTTTAGAATTTTCGTGCAAAGCTAAACAAAGCAATATTTACACATAGCCTTCTCTAATTTTGAATAGGCAACAATACCCACCACAAACTCTTGAACCTCCCTTGATTTGGGGGCCTGGCATGGGCTGATGGTTAGGGTGCTCGACTTGTAAGCTGTGGGTCGCGGGCTCAAATATCATCAACGAGCATGCTCACCCTTTCAGCCGTGTGGGCATTATAATGTAACAGTCAATCCTACGTTAGCGGTAGGTGATGTAGACTAGCTACCTTCCCCCTAGTCTATAACTTCTAAATTAGGGACGGCTAGTGTAGATAGCCCTCGAGTAGCTTTACATAAAATTCAATAAACAAACAAACTTAATTTCATCGCCACTCTTATGGCGTACCAAGGTCCCAGAGCGCCCAGCGCGTTTTTTATTTTGCGGTAGTTGGACTCGAATCATAAACCATATGATTCACAATCCAGATTTTCCAACCTTTTGCCCGCGCCTGCTCCCTTATCGTAAAAACAGGTGCTGCTGAATTCATTGGTTGTTCACTGAGACCTAAAGTACTTTCATTAAATTAAAGCGTTGTTTTGTTCTTAGTTATTATTTTAATTCTCTATTTTAATGTCTCTAATTTTCAACCAGTCAGGTATTTTGTTTGTAAAATTTTGATTATTACATATTTCGAATTCGAACAGTTTTGGTTTGTCTTACATATCTGAGAGCTGACATTGACTAGTGGTTATGGTGTTCCACTCGCAACCTGTGGGTCGCAGGCTCGAATTCCCGTCACCAAACGTGCTCGTTCTTTCAGCCGTTGGGACATTATTATGTAACAGCCAATCTCACTTTTCATTGATCGAAAAAAGTCCAAGAGTTGGGAGTGGGTGGTGTTGACTATCTGCCTTCCCTCTAGTCTGTCGCTTCAAAATCCGGGACAGTTAGCACATATAATCCTCAAATAACTTTGCGCAAAATTCAACAAATAAGCAAACAAATATACCTGAGGAAGGATATTCGCACGAAAAGTTGTTCAGTATAACAAGACATATTTGTATATTATCTATCTCTGAACAAGTTTCTTCATTCTTCGTGCAGTACAAACAGTACTTTATTTTAACTGTTCTATGTGTTTAAGAGTTCTGTTTCGTAAGTCTTTGTTTCCAGATCTTATGAAGATAGCGAAAGTTGAGTGAAGCTTAAAACCAAAGATCCCGATTCAGGAAAACGTAAAGAGTTCTACCTATCGTGGTAAACTCTTAGAATCTCCTGTAAATAAAATCTTGGTTAAATTTTTGAAAGAAAATCTTCTTACATCAATATTATTTCTGTAAGTCGGTATCGATTAAACTTCCTTTATCATACGGAAGTAATTAAGGCTAAAATGGAAGAAGAAACTGGATATTGCTGAAGAAATATTTATAGCTTTGACGAAAGTTTCTTACAACATAAATTTTGATATTCTTTACAAAAAACTTCAACAATATAAACTGCTTATGTAGATGATAAGGATGTAGATTTGGTGTATCTGGATTTTCAGAGAACTTTTGACGAGATGCCACCTAAAAGGCTTGTAAAAAGTATCTCTATATGTGTTGGGGGATAATTAGCTAATTGGATAGAAGAGTGGCTGTATGGAATAAAGTAGAGGTTGTTATAAATGGAGTTCACTCAAACTGAATTAATGTCTCAAATGGGGTTTTGATTGACATAAATGACATAGATAAAGGAATAGTCAACAAATGACTTAAATTTTCTGATGATATTAAAGTCTTGGATGTTGCTGGCTCTGAAGGGTATGATGCTTCTTTACATAAAGGATTTAGATCATTTAGTGAGTTGGGAGAATAAATGGCAGAGGGGTTTTAATTATCATAAATGCAAGATGATGCATGTGGGTTATCATAATTTGAATTATAAGTATACTTTGGATGGAAATAATCTTAACAGTGCCATAAAAGAAAGGGTTCTTAGTATAATGGTTGATCAGTCTCTTAAACCATCCAAGCAGTGTGCTTTTGCTAGTGGTAAGGCAAATATAATTTTAGGTTGTATCTACAGAAATATTGAATACAAGTCTAAAGATGTTATAATTTCATTATAGGCCACATTTGGAGTATTATGTTCAATCTTGGGCTCCTTACCTTAGAAAGGACATTGAATTGTTTTAAAGGGTTCAGAGGAAGGTCACTAGAATGGTGCCTGGGAAGGAGGGTTTGTCATATAAGAAGAGATTAAGATCTTTGAAACTTTTTCTCTTGAAAAACGAAGAATTAGAGGGGATCTAATTGAGGTGTTTAAGATTGTTGTGGAGGCAGTAAATACATTTAAATGATTTTAAAAGAGAGCTTGATAACTATATGAATGATAAGGGCTGGCTTTAAGATTTTGTATATATTTATAATAGTTTAGTTTAGAGGATGGAACAGCCTAGATGGACCAACAGGTTCCCCGTTGTCCCTAAACATTATGTTATGATATAAAATGTTAACAAGGATCATTACTGGATCGATCTTGTTATTGTCGTTTTTCTACTTTTGGAAGTAATTATTCTAAAACTGACTTACTTATTCTTGTGGCATCAGTGACGTGCTAATTCTTTACACTGAATTTTTACTGTAAAGATATTCTAAACCAGGTGGTGATGTCAGTATTAGACCTCATATCTCGGAAAATCCTCCATAGACTCACCATTGTGCATGGACAGCGACTTCTTTAAAACGAGACAAAAGACACAGAACTGCAAAGGAAGAGGACTTTGCAGGAATATGGTTGAATGAAATTGCAATTTTTTCGATCATCTTTATTAACTTATTAACTTAGAATGATAAGTATTTTATCGATTATTCTAATTTCTTCCTCTATGAGTTCATTGCAGTAGACCTGGCATGGCCAGGTGGCTAGGGTGCTCGACTCGCAATCTGAGGGTTGCGGGTTCGAATCCCTGTCACACCGAACATGCTCGCCCTTTCAGCTGTTGGGGTGTTATAATGTGATAGTAAATCCCACTATTCATTGGTAAAAGAGCAGCCCAAGAATTGGCGGTGGGTGGTGTTGACTAACTATCTTCCCTCTAGTCCA